TCCCTATAAAGAGACCTTAATGCCTGTATCAAGCCAGCGCTCAACCCAAATGAGTTCAGTGTTTGCCATAACACGTTCCTGTCCACTCTGTCATAAGCCTTTTCCAAGTCCAAGAACGCACAAAAAACTTTCTGGTTTTTAGCCAAAAACTTCTCCGCTATCATGCGCATGGAAAAGACTTGATCCGTACACCCCATCCCCTTTCTAAATCCAGCTTGCACATCCCAAATTTTTCCATCAGTTTCTTCCATAACTCTTTCAATTAACACCTTAGCATACAGTTTACCCACAATGCTAAGCAAGCTGATACCACGGTAGTTTTTACAGTCCTGCTGCGACCCCTTTCCCTTATATATTGGGACTATAACGGCTTTGCACCAGTCTTCCGGTACCCGTTTCAGTTCCCAACATACATTAAACAAGGTGTGCAGCAGGCCTGCAACCACACCCTCACCAGCCCTTAGCATTTCGAGTGATACTCTATCATATCCGGCTGCCTTACCTGCTTTCATGCTTTTCATTGCTTTCATTATTTCATCTACACTTATCTCCCTACCTCTCTCCACTTCTTCCGGAATTTCTATTTCACTTATTTCAGACGACTCTTCACTCTTAAACACGCTTTCAAAGTATTCCTTCCATCTCTTTAAATTCGAAACTTCATCATTCAGAATGCAGCCATTCTCGTCTAGTATAGCATTCATTCTAGGCTGTTTTGAAATTCCCCTGGCAGTTCTTACGAGCTTCCAGAACATTTTAATATTTTCCTTGAAGTTATCAGATATCCTTCTATCATTTTTATCTATCCTTTCTTGCTTTTTCCTTTCAACAACTTCTTTTACTCTCTTATTTATACGTCTAAAGTTTGCCTTTTTTCTTTCAATCTCATCATTCATACCGCCAGAATTACCAGCTTTAGTTGCTAGTAAATCTAGCCATGCTCTCTTCTTTGCTTCAACTTCCATCCGTACCTCATCATCCCACCACAACGTATTACTTTTCCTTTCATTCGTTCTCTTACTTACACCGCATACTTCGGTGGCTGCATCCACCAGAACTCTCTTAATATTATTCCATACATTCTTCAATTCTAAATCATTCATACATAATTCATTCAACCCACTTATATTTTCCCTCAGTCTGCATTTATACTTCTCTTTCACACCTTCATCTTGTAACCTCTCTATTCTTATACACTGTAACGCAGTGGTAGACACCGATGTCCGATGCCGCCAACGTCTGAATAGACCATTAATTCGGCATAAGACCAAGTAATGATCCGTCCCTACGTTGGACCCCCGGTAAACCCTTGTATCTACCACTGCGCTCCTCATTCTTTCATCCACAATTATAAAATCTATCATGCTTCTATCATCCCCTCTTTCCCATGTATACATGTGAATCCTCTTATGGCGAAAGAAAGTGTTCGCCACAAAAAGATTCTTTTCCACACATACGGTGAGGAGGTCTTCACCATTCTCATTTATTCTTTCATCGCCAAACGTTCCTAATATCCTTTCATAACCAGACCTCTTCACCCCCACCCTTCCATTAAAATCTCCTAACATAATAATATTTTCATTTTCCTTACATTTCATCAACACCAGCCTTACCATGTCCCAAAACTGCTCTCGGATATAAGTGGGCTTAGACATATCTGGGGCGTACACCCCTAGCACAAACAACTTCTTTAAGCCCACTTTCATTCGTATCCACAGCAGCCTTGGGCTAACACATTCATACTCTTTCACACATTGACCCATTCTTTCTGAAAGGATGACACCGACTCCCTGGCATGCCCGCTCGGTCTCGTCTACTCCAGACCAGTAAGCGGTATACATGCCATGTGCAGTGACATCTCTTCCCTTTCGTTTCGTCTCGTTTACACATAACACATCTATTCCTCTATCATTCATCATTTCGCATACTTCATCCATCTTGTCATTCATTGCTCCACATACATTCAGCGTAGCCAGACGGGCCTCCGCAATCCACTTTTCGCCCCTCCGGGAGACAGGACGTGACGGGTGGCGAACCTCGTCGCCGGTTTTTCTCCCGGAGATTCTTCGCACCCCTGCCCCATTAAAGGGGCGCCGGGAACTCGGGGCCATTTCTTTTTCTACTAGGCTCATGGTGCGAACTAAGGGGGTGGTAGATTTTACGCCGCTACCATACGACGAGGAGCCGAGTCTGTCGTTTCGACTTTGTCGCTCGTTTAGCACCACCTGGGGGACACGTGTAGGGTGGGCCTAGGATTAGGTGGTCGAAGCCTACGGACGCGAGCGACTCATCCCCCAATCATATCAAATCTGTTTATAAAATAAAAACAAAAAAATCATATCTGTTTATAAAATAAATGATGCAGATGCCTAAAAGCTATTTTATTAATTATATTTTTAGGTCTATACTATATTACTTACTAAATTGATATTAGTGAAAGATAAACCAAGTAATAGGCTTATTCTCTTTAAATTCTTCATGTTTGAGAAGAATACATTAATAAATTTAATACTCTCCATTGAGACTGACTACTATAAATGGAATTCAGTCAGGAATCAGGTTCAACCGTACAATTATATAAATCAAATCTTAAATAATTTGTTCTGTGGACATCTGGGTAAACTGATAAGAGTAAACCTGAGCCGTATAGTTTATGAGTAATTATATTTTTTGTAATATTTACCTCACTTTTTTACACAGGGATATTGACCCAAAGTTACTTCTGCAACGGCTTCGGCGCTGCAGTAAGTGCAGCCCCTTCGCCCTTGCGTAGCAAATTGCAGGCACCTATGCTCGAATCCACACATTTGGCTCGTTAGTCGTCTTCGGCGACCAGCCTCAGCCGCTACGGCTCTCACAGGTGCCTGCGATTTGCTATGGTGGGAGGGGGTTGTAGGCTCCCTCCACACCTACGGCTTTACAAAAACACTAGGGGTAGGGCAGACAAGATTATGTGGAGTTGGGGGCTATACTGATTCGATTTTAGTATGGATTCAGCCTATCTTATCTATAAAATCAGGTTGCCCTAAACTCTGCTATGATAGTGGTAAATGAAACAATGTAATGTGAAATTGTTATAATTTTGTTTTCTCCTTGACTGCTCTCCACTGCAACTCAATTTGTTGTGTATGAGTCCCATCATCAGCCACAAATAGATTGTCTGGGTCCGAACTAATTAACTTTTTTATGGGTGACCAGTTTCGTTATATGTAATTTTTACTTGGTGAAATTTATTTTTATCGTATTTAATTCAAAACATATTTCCAAAATCAAAAAACTGTGTAAAAGGTTTAAGCTTAACCCTGACAAACCTCCTAAACTGAAAACATAATTAAAATCAAGTACTGGACGTCTACTTCATAATACTGGACCAAATTGACATTTTTTCAAGTTTTATAGTTATCAACCGACTTAAAAAAAGAGTAGGTTCTCAATTTGCCTGTATTGTTTTTTTATGAGTGTTACCTAAGAACTTTTTTCTAGGTAAAACAATTTTGAGGGTTCTTTTTTTATTTGAAAGTTGGTGTTTTTTCATGTGGTCCCATATAAATTTGATTAAAGTCTGATCAGTAGTTTTTTTAGTTATACTTAATAATGCGTATTTAATTGTCTTGGACTACCTTGATGATGTTCTCATTTTATTTATATTGAAGTTGGTTCTACAAATTTTTAATTTTACCTCTTGTTTTTACACCAATATTCAGCTGAACATAGTCCAGTTAACTATGAACCAATGAGCATGGGTGCATCTTTAATGTACTAGAAAATCAAGAAATTAAAGTAAGCTAAAGTGTATATATATATATATATATATAGCTTTATACATGTGGTTTGACCATTCTAAAGTATAAGGTTGCTAAAGTATAAGACTTTTGTATGGTGTTTTCAGAATAAAAAAAAAATTAAATCCATAGTAAGCAATAAAAAAGAAAATTTGCCAGCCTTTATATATACACTGCTGTGCCAATATAAAACTGTGGAAACTATACAAGATCGGGAGCTGCTTAATGGTGTTGGTGTTACTTTGCTGATCAAAAGTCTCATTAACATTGCAGTTTTTAATTAATTACAATTATAGATAGCTTGGTAGTTTGAATTATTAAAGTAATAATGATGAAGGATATTAACTGTAAAAATCTTAAGCCAGTTAACATGACAGCCTATCATAAGTCCACTGCTAAATATAGGCCTCCCCATAGATTGCTGTATAGGACGAAACTTGTCATAGTTGCCATGCTTGGCATGCCAGATGTCAACTGCAATTTTATATTTACTGCTGTCCATCTCATGGTTTGTATGCGTCTGTGACCTCGTACGACACCCTCAGGACAATATGGGGTAGTGGATATTACTACAGTGCTGCTAAACCTTAAGTCAGTATTCGGAAACAATTTCAAGTTTAAACTCAAACTTCACAATGTCAAAATGTATGTAAATAGTATGGTCTAGTCGCGCATTTTGATTATGTGGGGTTTGTGTTGAAACTAGAGACTATCTCTAAAATACAGGTATTATAGTTGTTACATAAAGTAATATCACCAATACATGATAGACTACTTTATTATGCCACTGCGTGATTGTGAGGTATTACAAGGATATAAAAATTTGCTTCAAAACTTTCTTGATCTTGTATCTTATATTTCCTTGGCCTCTATTATTTACGCCCATTATATTATTTATATGTGGTAGGGCCATGCTGCAGTTATATTATGGTTTGGAAGGATCACACTCTCATAGAATACTAGTGTAAAATAGTAGCTTAATGCTGCTGTGTTTTGTATGGTGAGTGTAGAGAACTGGAGACTATTTTTATTTAAAACGAGGCATTCTGTCTTAGTCCTCAGGTGTGGCCAACATATCTGCATTTTGATTCTCAATCAAGGATAAATATAGATTTCTATGGGCCACAGTTTCTTCTTACCACCAGGTGGAGTGTATGCTCGTTTGTCACCCTAATTCTATAAAAAATATATTAAGTTCTTGTCTTTTTGTTCCACCAGGTACAGTCCTGATGCGAGGCAGGATCCGCCGCGGTGGGCCTGTGCTCTTTGCGCTCTTGGAGTCTTTGTCTACCAGAGCTTGGATGCCATCGATGGCAAACAGGCACGTCGTACTGGCAGCCAATCACCACTTGGTGAACTCTTTGACCATGGCTGTGACAGTATATCAACTGTATTCATAGCCCTAGGAGCCTGCATAGCAGTCAAGTTAGGAGAGTACCCTACCTGGATGTTCTTTCAGGTTAGTAAAATTTTCTATATATAAATAGAATTAAACTTGTGTGAATTTTTTTGATTGACCTATAGTAAGTTGTTGCAAGTTAAGATAACCTTTAAGGTTAACTCACCTAAATTGACAATGAGCATAATGTGTATTCTTTATGACTAGTCGTCGCCTAGTAGTCGAAATTTGACCGTAATTCATTAAACTTTTTAAGTTTGTGTATTTAAACAAGCTGTATTTTAATTATAAAGTAATTATTTGTCCGTAACATTTTAAAATTCTTTAGTGACAATCTTTACTCTATGCAATTGTTTGACCACAGACTATTAAATGAATAAATGTTTTATTTAATTTAATCTATTTGTAACATATAGCATTTTGGATTTCTGTACTCCTTCTCCATAACTATGCTAAATCTCACACTTCTTGTGCGTAATGTCATTGAAAACGGGTATAAAGTTTTGTATTCATTTAATAATGTATATATACAGTCTTTATAGATAACTAGAAATAGTCTTGTATGCTATTATGGATGTCTTCAATAATTGACATAGATATTTTAACAACTATAAAACAATGGCGTTATGTTACGGTTCCAGGAGTAAAACGTTGTTACTGAGATATTTTATTCTAAAACAATTTAATTGTCTGATATAATTCACTTGTTATTTATGTGTTTGATGTTGTGATTTAAATGGGTGCTGTAAGTACTAGAAACGTGGGGAATATAAACTAAGTTAATATATGCGATAAAATCTTTTAAAGGATTTTGATGGAATGCCTCATAACCTGTAGACTAAAGATGTTGTCACTTCTGAGCAAGATCTTAAAGCCTGTTATTATAGTGGCTTTCTTTACTGTTCTGAATAGAACACAGCAGTGCACTGCTGTTTGGTAGCAGAAGTAGGTAAGATGGTGGTGGTACCTACCCAGAAGGACTCCTAGGCAGAAAATAAGTCTTATGATCTTAAGAAATACCACTTTTACAGAAATGAATACATTTAGTGAAGTCTTTAGTTTACAGTGATAACTTGGTTTTAAGGATTCGCATATAGATCCCTATATGTTTCTGTACTTAAATTGATGAGGAAATATGTTGCCAATGTCATTTAGATTTGTTGTGCAAAATATTCACATAGCCATTTAAGTGTCCTCAGTATCCACTGAGTCATGTAAAATACGTCATGATCCGTCACGTCCTATTGCTTTCGTAATTAATGGCTGGATAACGCAGTGACTAAGCGTTTGGAATTGGCGCTGAGGACTGCGGGTTTGAATCTCGCAAGGATTTTTTTTTTAATTTTGACATTTACCCATGTGTAATTGATGAATATAAAACACATCCGTGATATGAAATTACTAGTGTAGTTATAACGTTTCATCATTATCATCATCATTACATCCCTTGACAAGTACACTGCTGAACATAGGCCTCTACCAAGGAATGCCAAAAAGAACGGACCAGAGACACTCCATCTTTCTATATCTCTTACGAGGAGGGCATCTAGTGGAGGACCGCCCTACACTTCGCTCAACGGCTTAAGGCTACTTTTCGAGAACCTTACTTCCGCATCGGTTATCGGTCCTTCCGGCTAAATGAACCACTGCCACTTCAGTTTACTGATCCATTGGGCTATGTTGGTAACTCTGGTTCTACTGCGGATATCCTCTTAACGAAGTCTATGACGTAGAGAAACTTCGAGCATAACTCATTTCATAACTCGCTGAGTAACCTTGAGTTTTCTCACACGCCCAGCAGTGAAGCGCTATCGTTTAAGAAAATATATTTAAAAAAATACAATAGAGACAAGTAGAGATGTGAATCATCTCATTTTAATTCAACATTATGATTCAAAAGATCGTATGTTTAAAGTTTAAACTGACGCCGTATTTATTCTACGTTTTATTACATTGATAAATTGTTATCTACACACCCACACGCCTATAAGAATTAGTTGCTACGCGGAAATTCTTTATAAGAAATTATCACGTTTAAATTTTGTGTTACTTGTGTTATCTATACATTTTGGGTTGTCAGTTGCATTAATTCCTAATTTTCGAATTATCAAACGGTGATTAACCTATTTTAAAATAATTAAATACCTTACAAACGACTATATGATCAGAACATGTAACGCACATTAAACATCTGGATTCAGCCTATCTGCGTTCAGTTTTAACGCTTTATTAATGATTTTAAATTGGATTTATTTAAATTGGACCTCAATAACTTTGATTTAATGCACCGTTACCCTCATTAGTAACTACATAAATTCAATATTAGTGGCCCTAGCAGGCGCCCATGAAAACCCACGCTTCTGTACAATAGCAACTAAGTTCTGATCAAAAATTTTGACTACTAAACGTCCTTCCAGCGAGGTTAAAGTGTACTCAAGTATTATTCAGTTAAATAACTCATAGTTAGAGTTCATTTACCCCACATCTGCTTCAGTCTAAACACTCGATTGCGTTACTTTGGTAAATGCATTAGCAGGAAAAGATCCAATTAACTAGTAAAATCTAGTTCAGCTCAAAACCGGTTTACTTTAAAACCTGCTTATTAATATTGATTACCTCTCAATTCCCCATTGCTGTGACTTTATAAATAAGTAATCGAGAATGCTAGGTATATATGCTGTTTTAGTTACCTATACCCGTAGCACATCGCACAGCTCTGGTGCACTTACAACTGTGTTCCATTTTGTAGGGTGTAGCATTGGATGGATGAAGAGTACTACGTATTAATACTAGTTTATCGTCCTTCTATGTTATAGATATTTATATCTATTATCTTTTTTTATAGAATAAGGGTGACAATAGAGCTCACAGTCCACTTTATGGTTTGTGGATACTGTAGCCCATAGACATCTATGTTTACCCTCGATTAAGGATCAATACGCAGATGCGTTGTCACCCCAGAGGATTAATATGGAATGCCTATTTGCCAGTAAAAAGGGTCTCCGGTTCTCTACCCTCACCATACGAAACACAGCCATTAAGCTGTTTATTTTACGCTGATATTCTGTGTGAGCGAGGACTTTCCCCAGTCGAACCGACCCATTCGTGCTACAACCATGATATAGCTGCAGCATGGTCCTACCATGTACAATATAAAATATACGAGGTCTGTCTATTACCAAGTTTATATTAAAATATTTATATTTTATTAAACAAAAACTGTATAAAAAGGGGTTATTATATATTATAATATAAATAAATACATGGTTGATAAGGCCTATGTTCAGCAGTGGACTTGTGAAGGGCTGTAATGATGATGATAATGATGACATGGTTGATAATAACCCCTGGTCGCTTCCCAGCTGTTTGTAAAATCAATTTTGTAAATAGTTTTTTTTTTTATAGTAAAGGGTGCCAAACGAGCACACAGTCCACCTGATGGTAAGTGGTTGCTGTGACCCATAGACATCTACATTTATCCTCGTTTGCGGTTCTCTGTACTCACCATACGAAACACAGCAGTGGTAAGCTGCTATTTGACGCTGGTATTCTGTGAGAGCGTGGTCCTTCCCCGGTCGAGCCGACCTATTCGTGCTACAACTATACTACTAATATAGCTGCAGCATGGCTCTACCACGTATAAAATAAAAGTTAGTACATAAATAGTTTGTACAACCATTCATGTAAAATTTACTTAAAAAAAACAGTCTCGCTGGGTTTCTTGCTGGTTCATCCCAGGACATCGGGTTTTTTTTCGAATCATAGGTAAAGTAAAAAATTACTTTCATTAAGAATTACACATGTGATCTATATTGAATAAAAATATTCTATTCTAAAAAAAAATTTTTGTAGTGGCTCATCATTATATAAAAAATCTCATTAATCCAAGATAGGAAGACAGTGAAATAAATTGTTTTTATTTTTTTCTAATAAATAAAATTACTTACCTATACTGGTATTGACATAAATAGAATATAAGTCAATAAAAGAATATATTTTTTATAGAGATTTAGAGGGAGAGAGAGAGAGAGAGAGATTTAAAAATCAATATAATATATTATTTAATATTAATATAATATTATACCACGCTGCAGCAATATTATGGTTGTAGTAGGTACGAATGGGTTGGCACGACTGGACGCCGCTCTTACTGAATACCAGCGTATAATAGCAGCTTAATGCTGCCGTTTTCGAGCATCTCGCCCGACGCAGTACCACCACTCTCACAGGCGCACATATCCCTCGGTAATGTCTACTTAAAAATATATATATATATATATATATAGTCCCCCTGACGTTAAGTGGCTGTATGGTGAGTGTAGAGAACCAGATACTTCTTTTATATTACGAGTATTACTATCTTTTTTTATGATACGAGGCATTCTATCTTAGTCCTCAGGGGGGACAACGCATCTGCATTTTGATTCTCAATCGAGAATAAATGTAGATATCTATTGGCTACCTAATGGTAAGGGAATACTGTGGCCCATAAACATTTATCCTCCATTACAATTAAAAATGCTGATGCGGACATCATTTTTAATTGTAATAGGGGACAACCCCCATGAGGACTAAGATGCCACGTTTTCAGTAAAAGGGTCTAAGGTACTCTCACTATACGAAACACAGCAGCATTGAGCTGCTATTTTACGCTGGTATTCTGTTACAGCGTGGACCTTCCCATTCGTGACAAAACCATTAATATAGCTGAAGCATGGCTCTACCACGGTGATGTTTTTTTCTGAGAGGTTTTTAGTTGTTGTTTTGGGCAAGATAGTGTCCCGCAAAGGATAGAATGGAAATGTGTGGGAAAATAGATGTTTTTTTTTAGTTCCAGGTCCGCTGATTTGAAATTAATTAATACAAACTAGCCCCCCACCCCACCCCACTCCGGCTTATTTTATTTATATGTATAGATAATTTCACATCCGATCAAATTTCAGATTCTTTTTTCTACCTCTCTCGCGATATTGAGTCGGATGACGCTTTTATTATAACGAAATTAGTTAACCTATGAAGGTAATGTAGTTCAAGTTAATTCCTCGTGTAGTGGCGGGTAA